TCGGGTCATTGGGTTTTTATTTTGGATGGTTTTTAGTTGGAGAAGAAGGGGAGTGTGGCGGGAGGTTTTTCTTTGGAAGTTTGAAGTGGTTTGGGTGATTAAAGGGGAAAGAAATCGTGTGGTGTTGGTCAAAAACGGAAGAAGAGGAATGTGGTGGAGGATTTCGTTAATGAAGGTTCGGTGGCGGAAAGTTCTGGGGAAGAAGAAGAAGGTTTGTGGTGAGGATTTTGTTTGTTGTTAAAGAAGGTTGAGCTTGTGAGGGGTTTCGAAAATGGTGGTTTGGGATGGAAGAGTTGGGTTGAGTGCGGCGGTGGCGAGTTGAGGAGGAAGAGGGAGGAAACCCAATGGCGGCGGCTAGGGTTTCTCGCGAAGAAGAAGCTGAAACAGTAAAGGGGCTAGGGTTCTTTTTTGATGCAGAAGATGAACAGTATCTCTTATACTGTTGAAAAAAAGCCACGTGTTCTCTTTTTTACATGTTTTTTATATTTTTTTTAAATTTTCTGACTAATAAATGAATTCTAACCTAAACTAACTTTATTTTAAAATCTAATTAATTAATATTCCTAATTGAAATCTAATTTTATTTTAATAAATAAAAATTCTAATTCTAATTAAACTATTTCTAATTTCTAAATAAATAAAAAAACTATTTCTATTTTCTAAATTAAATTCGAAATCTAAAATCTATCTAAATCCTAATCTAATTTTAATAAAATTCTAACTTCTAATTCAAAACTATTTCTAAATTCTAAATAAAATCTTAAATAAAACTCTATTCTAATTTCTAATAAAAATTAAAATTTTAATTAAGTCTATTTTCTAAACTAATTAATTAAAAATTCTAAATCTATACTATTCTATTAAAAATTCTAATTAATAATCTAAACTAATTTTCTATATAAAATTCTAATAAAAATTATATTCTAACAAGAAAAATCCAATTCTAATTTCTAAATTAAAACTTAAATTCTAATTAGTTTCTAAATCAGTTTTTTTTATTTTCTCTTTTAAATCAATTCTAGTTTTATTTCTAATCTAAACTAGTTAAAAACTAATTAATTCTAAAACTAAACTTACTATTATATTAACAAATTATAAACATGAAATTATAAAGAAAAAATAAAAATAAATCACAAAATGCCACGAAATAACGAAAAAAGGAGCGAATACCGAAACACAACAAAATTATCAGCACAGACTGAACCACCAAGAAGAGAACAACCTTTCACCCGATTTTCGAGATAAATCTCATCCTTTAAACCAGTTTAAATTGTCTAAAATGCAAATAAAACAACAGTAATCCCGATAAACCCAATCCTGCTGATAACATGGACAACATGCGAGAAATGATTGACCTAGATGATATGCAGATGAATGTGAAGCAAAAGTCAGTCAAAGTTAAAAAAAAAAACAAGGGAAAATTTTGGGGTGCAACAGGTATATCCGGGGAGGAGATTCCCGATGTATGAGTTTGCCTTTAGGGAGGCAGGGTATCGTCTGCCCTTCATAGATTTCCAAGGGGTGATTTTCTGTCATCTTGAATTGTCCTCTGCCCAACTTCACCTGAATGCTCTGGCGTTCATTTGGGCCTTTGAGTTGGTATGTCGTTATCTGAAGATTGGGCTACCATAGAGCTCTTATTTTGCCTTTTCCAACTACAAAGGAGCACCGCTGAGTCGAAGCAAAGTTGGGTGTCCTTTAAATAGCAGAGCAGGCTGTTCTGACCATACTTGGAGTATGTCAGAAATTTCAAATTCAGGTTCCTGGTCGTAAAGCCTTTTTAAGAGGCGGCCAAGAGTTCTCTGGTCACCATGAAGACTATGGTTGAGGATGGTCGGGAGGTAGTACTACTGCCTATATCAAAGTTTCCACTAGACTGGGTGTATGGTCATTTTAGATATAGGACCGACCAGTTCCTTGTGAAGCACGGTCAATTGTGCACCAAGGACAATAAATATCTTTGAGCATTGACATCGTTCGTGGAGAGTTTCACCCCTGCTACCGTGGTGGACAAGGATGGTAACCTGCTCTATGCTAAGGACGAGGAGCCTGCTCGGGCAGCCCGTTACATAAACACCAAAGCCTTTCTCGACTGTGAAATAGAGGCCAAGGCTTTTGAACTTTTAGGTATAGATGGTCGATTTTGCTTGCACTTCTTGATGTTTTGATGGCGTGCTAACTCATTTTTTCTTCCTTTTGCAGGAAAAATGTCGAACTTGCATGAATGCCTTGTTAAGTCCGTCGCGGTCAAAAATGTCAAGAAGGTTTCGACCTCGAGGGTGGACGCGATCAGACAACAGGCGACGCTGGAGAAGTTCATGGGTGGTTATTCACCTCCTGGAAGCACATCTAATACTCCTACCCTAGATCCTCAAAGGTAAAGGAAGCAGGACGACCTCGGTTCTTCTTCGGCTGAAGGCTGAGGACGACCTCAGTTCAAAATTCAATATGAGTGTCATGAAAAGTGAAGATCAGAAAATATAACTTACTCTTTGTGTGTGAACTGATTTTATAATTTATATCCAGTAAAGTGGACTTGAGATGGATTGGACCTTAGTCGTTTTGGTCTATGGCCGGTCTAAAATAGTAATAATTTTTATATTTAAATTAATCTCTTGTGTAAAAAAAAATTTAAATTAATCTCTTATTAATGGAACAATGCTTTTTTCTTTATTAAGAAAAAGATAATAATAAAAAAAACTATTAGTTCTATAAGGAAAAAATACCAAATTTGTTTATTCTATTCGTGGTATTCTAAGCTAAAATTATATCCTTTTACCATATGAAATTGTATAAAAATTAGTTATACGTAAGGGTTTGTTTGGTCCAAATATAAAAATTAGAGAAAATAGAATATATACTGTTATTGTAAAATGATTTTATATTAACTAATTATCATTATATATTCTATTATATGAGATAATAAATTTTAAATTAATTGTATGACATATTAAAAAAAAATTATTAGATGATAATGTAAAATTATTTATACCGTGTACATATTCACTAAACTCTAAAAATTACATGTATTTATCTTTATTTCTTTTAAGTAAGGATATTAAATATATATATTTCCAATGCATTTTATTTTATTTTATAGGTTGAAGTACATGAATCCACCAAACTATCCCTACTTTGTATTTTTTATTTATAATAATTTTAAATTCACTAACCTTTATTTATGTAAAATGATGAAATAAATTGTGAAACATAGGAATATAAATTATAATCAATGCACATAAAAGCAAATGAATGCATAAAAATTTGGATGTGAAAGAATCATGTATCATAGTAAATGTTTTGGTATTCATTGTAAATTGTAGGTTCATTGGAAATGAACTCGTACTTCAAACAAATTAGATATCATGATTTTGTATGGCCCCCACAACAAAAGTTACGAGTAAGGTTTCTATGAATGTTTGTGTCCGTACGATGATTACGATAGAAACCCAACAAAAACAAAAACATCATGAAACAAACAACATACAATCTCCTGAGTAAATCCCAACCATCCATTCTCATCAAACTCAACTACAACATGTCATTTTGCTAGCTTGGCCCCACTTAAATAACCTCTTGAAACATTTGTGATTTAAATGCACATTTCAGAAAAATAGAAATTTTGTTGGAAATTACAATTTTTTAATATTTGAAAAATTGAAGACACACTTTTTAAAATAATCATTTTATGTTTAATTTTTAAAAAATATTATTTTATAAATTAAGTTTAAACATAATAAATTTTTTTTACATTATCAATCATCCGCCTCATCGAACTAAAATTTTTAAATTGATTATCATTTTTTTTTGTATTTATTAAAACACTCAGTCGACTATGTTGATTTCATTCCTATTTGATGTTTTTAAATTAAAAGAATAGTGTATTAAAAGTAATAATATTAAATAAGCAAAAAAATATCTCTTTAGGTATTTTTGCATACCAAAATTAAAAAATAGTATATTAACATTCATTCATTATTTATTTATTATGTTCATCTATTTAAACCGTAAATTTCTCGTTTAAAACACCAAATTATCGTCTCTCACCAACATTCATTCATCTTCTCTCTCAAAAAAGTAGACTGTTTTTCTCTCTCTTTATTCTCCTTGTTCTCGAGTTAAAGAAGCATTTCCATGTCACTCAACCTCTAAAATTTCCTAGAGTTTGAAAAACGATTCGATTCATAAACCTTTGCCTAGTATCATAAACTTGATTTTTCCATTTATATATAAATTTGTACAAGCATTACGCAAGTTATGGTAATTCCGACAGAGCATGCAAATAACGACAACGACGACAACAACCTATGAAAAAACCAAACACACTATTGTCAGTGCTGTTCTTGTTTCATATTCTCTACATAAGCCTCTCCTTAAAATGAAGCTGAGATACGGAAGAGACGTCAAGAGGAGACAAACCTGAACAACAACAAGAACAAGATTCTTTTTCAGTTTGGTAAAGTCATTTTCTAATACTTTGTTTTCACTATAGCATACTCAAAATGATGTTTTATTTTTTTGCTTGTTCCTTGTTACTGTTTTTCCCCTTTTTTTATTGATTTTTTAAAATTAATAATATGATAGTATTATTAATACAAATATATATATGATCATCATTACATATATGACATGATAGTATGATAGTAGTAGCCATAGTCATAGCCATAGCCATAGCCATAAGCTATAACATAGCATTCTTCATCATTGATTCATTCTTATTCTAACGAGAATGAATGAGTCTTTAGTAATTTTGTTTTATTCTTGTTTCTTTTTCTCTGCAACTACGAACCTCATTCAAGATCAATCACTTTTCCTTTTCATTTTTTAAGCTAAGGATCATTTATTATTACTTTAATTACTATATAAAGTAAAAAAATAACTATTATTATTTTTCCTTGTTGCACTGCTTTAATTTTTCCTTTAGAATTTTTGATATAAAAAATAAGTTACGCTACACTTTTTTACTGGTTTTGTTGATTGTGCAGTGAAGAGGAGTAAAGATGTTTGAATGCATAAGATGTAATAGAAAGCCGACGGCGGAAGATAAGGAGGATGAAGAGGTCGGTCAGAGTAAAGAAGCCGTCAAAAGCCTGACTGCGCAGGTTATGTATCTTTTCTTTGCATATGAATCATTTATGAATGAAGTTTGCTTTTGCAGCTTCTTTTTCCATCTTCATGATGAAAACAAAACTGGATTAAACCCTTTGAGGTTGCTCCATTTGTGGGACCACCTTTCCACTCTTTTGTCTTTTATTCATTATGTTTTTAAATCCTTCTTTTGCATTCACAATAATGTTTACCTCCTCATTCAATTGAAGCAAGTTGATATAGTTGAGTTAGAATACATCTTTAGGATGTAAAAAAGTGGTCACGCACACGGGTACACTAGTTATCTAGGCACCAGGGATTGATTTGGTTTAGGATGACGTAAATGTGTTGTAGTGTTTTGGACGCTTTATATGTTGTTGATGGATGGTCCACTTTTTCTTCTCTTTTCTTTGGACTTTGCTTCTATGATTCTTTTATTTTATATGCTGATGTCACCACCATCATCATCAACCAATCAACTTGCTTCCGATCCTTTTATTCTTTCCTCAGTCACAAATCGAAGAACAATTTTTAGCAGTTTTTGAGTATCACATACACCTCTGGAAAAAAGTGTCAGTGTTACTATCGTGTTTCAGTTGTCCGTGTTTTATAGGTGGCAACATGCAAATACCATTTTAATTTCTCTGTGTTTAAATGAAGTGTCTTCTATTTATGATGAGAACATGAAACAACATGTTCCACATCCATCAATTTAGTTAATGTTGAGAAAATATGTCTAGCAAAGAATGGAATGTGCCACATTCGTATCATCGTGTGGTCCATCCTTGAATTCTTGTCGTTCTTATGTTTTTTCATATGTTTTTCTTTTTTGCTGTTGAATAGGATTGGCTTAGTAGGAAAACACACATGGATTTCACTCAAAAATTAGTGACGATCCTATTTTTGTTCTCATTGTAAATCCTTATTACCTACACATCATCTTCATGCTATTCCTTGTCAGCAACTTTTGCATGAAACCTTGATTGTGATGTTCTTCCTGATACCTATAGCAACTATTTTCAACCAAATGTTTCTCATTCATATGTGAATATGTTGACATTTCAAATTTGGATTCATATAGTTGGAATTTTCTACCAATAGGAAATGCTTTCTATTGAATATGTTGTTTTCATCCACTTGCTGATACAATATTAGTTGTCATAATTATTTTTCTATTTCGATTCTTAGACAATTTTGGTACCTATGCTACATAATTAAAACTTGTAATGCATTCATGTTAATTTGAGAATCTAATGTTTTTTCCTGCACATGCAGATAAAAGATATAGTACTGAAGTTTACCGGTGCTTCCTGCAAACGATCCGGCTCCTACCGAAAAGGACCGAGATCTTCTCCGAAATCGGTAGAGAACTCGGAAGGGGTTCGATATCCTTATATGGGGGGTGTGACCTCAGGTTCTACTCCTCCTTGGGAGTTAGGTGGCAACTACAGCAATGGCAACCAAACTCCTAGAGTGCAAGAGCCAGTTGTGGTGGAGCCTGAAGCAGTGGCGGAGGAAGAGATTGGTAACAAAGTGTGGGTGGCACAAGTGGAGCCGGGGGTTGATGTTACCTTTGTGTCTCTTCCTGGTGGTGGAAATGATCTCAAGAGAATTCGATTCAAGTATGTTAACAAATTATTACAAACTTTGATTCTTTTTTACAAGTTTAGTTTTATGAACACCAGAGACACGACACTGACACCAATAGTTATTGATTAAATTTGAAGCCGAGAAATGTTTGATAAATGGCAAGCTCAAGTATGGTGGGGAGAGAATTACGACAGAATCAGGGAGCTATATAATGTCCAGAGATTTAATCGTCAAGCTCTCAACACTCCTACACCGTCCGAGGATGAGGTAGACTACAAATTTTTAGATTCTTATGTTATCGAAACTATTACATATCTCTACTTAATACATTGTTGCCTTTGAACAGCAAAAAGATTCTTCGAACCCAAGGAATCACCAAACTGCAAGAGATAGCCCAGTGGCTGCATGGTTGAACAATGATTCAATGCCGAGGAATCAGTATTATAGTACTTCGGGATTCACTACGGGTCAAGGAAGCAGTAGCAACCAAGAAATGCATGCAGCAGGGTCATCCATGGAAGCATCAAGAGCCTCTTCTAAAGATGAGCAGTTTTTCAGCAATGCCGTTGGAATTGAGTCAGAATGGATTGAGCAAGTTGAGCCGGGCGTCTTTGTTACCATCAGGCAGTTACCTGATGGAAACAAGGAGCTTCGCCGTATCAGATTCAGGTAACATGTTTATGTCTAAGTTATTTCTATAAGATAACTGCCCGATAGTAACAAACGCACCCGATAATTATTTCAATCTGTGCGTTTGTTACTAAGGACAAGTTCTCCAAACATACATTGTATTGATGGTTTTTGAACTCTATTTGCAGCCGAGAGAGGTTTGGAGATGAAGATGCAAGGAAATGGTGGGAAGAGAATAGAGAAAGAGTTCAAGTTCAATACATGTGAAGTTTCTATAGGATGCTAATGAAAAAAGTGAATTATGTCTCAAGTTGATTGGAATCACCAATTTTTTATTTTATGAATTGGTGAATAAGGTTTCATAGCATAATAAGATATTGGGTTTAATTTGTTTATTGGGAGGTTTAATCTTTTTTATATATATTACTTAATTAGTTTCACCATCTTCTCTTGTAGGAGTATGTATTTTTTTTCTCTCATTTGAGATTCTATTGTGTTCATGGTGGGTATAAATCAATTATTCATATGTCCATTATTATAGTTTTATAATGAAGAAGTGTGTAAATGCATATATTTTAAAAATTGGCAACATTAGTTCGATATCTATATTCTAAAACTGAATAATGAATACTTTCATATTTTAAAGGTAGAGAAACCCAACTCTGTTGAATGAGATTGATGAAAAATAAATGTTGAGAGCCATGTGCTGTGTGATGGAAGTGACTCTGAAATTATTATTCATAGTGTGGTGGGATAGATGTTATGAAAGGATGAAAAGCGGCTATTTAATGCTAGAACCAATTCGTATGTTTTTGATAAACAAGATCCCAAATTAAATTGAGGTATCTAAGATTGTGAATGCATTTTATTGAAATTCAAAATATGACTTCATTGAATCTCAAGTTTAAATTTCAAAGTTTGTTAAAAGTTTCACTATATACTAATAACTTCACATCTTTCTTTTTGTGCTCTTTGTATGTGATTATTTTAGTATCATTCGCATTTGTCTCTAACACCACTGTGTTATCATCTATGATTTCAATTATATCTTAAAATTTGAATATGATTTTTATTTTGTTAGAACTTGGAGCTCTTTGTGTGTGATTCTTTCAGTATCATTCGCATTTGTCTCCAACGTCGGCGTATCATCATCTATGATTTCATCGATATCTTGAAATTTGAATACTTTGTTAGAACTTAGAACTACAAAGAGAGAGAGAGAGAGAGTTAACATTGATTGTGATATCCCTAGGATATCTTTTTTCTAGGTTACCTTGATAAAAAGATGGATAAATTACCCATTATGACATGGAGCCACTTATAAATAGACATGTGTAAATGGAAAAATAAAATTTTATGCTTTAATTAATAAAACGATTAATAGTCGTGTGTATGATTAAGACCTTTAATGTTTCTTGTTATTGAAATACATGTGTCATTGTTTAATTGGATATATGTCAAATGGATAAATTATCCATGTTTTTTATGGGGTAACCTAGGCCTCACCCTTGGATATTTATACAAATTACAATTTATTAGGATACAAAACAAAATGAAAATTTTAAAAAAAAATTGTTTGTCTATAACATGGGCGCAGCTGTTTCTACAATTCAAATTCAACACAATGGTACCCGGGTAGCAAAACGCATTACTCGGTACAGTTGTTTCAAAAGCAAAAAATACAATACACTAGTAAATGATTACAACACTTGAATTATGTGATTTTCACAACACACCACCTTAATTCAGGTGCTCCAAGTTCTTCATGCCCATGTTCTTCTTCAATCTCTTGAACACTTCAATTATGACTCATTTAATCAGCAAATCGACCACTTGGCCTTCACTTCTATAATATCTCAATTTCAACATTCTTTCACTAACAATTTCTCTCAAGTAGTGAAACCTCATCTCAATATGCTTGCACTTCCCATGTGCAATTGGGTTCTTAGCAAGGTTCATAGCAAAAACATCATCAACCATGAGCATCACAGTGTCACCCTCTCTGCTATCCAACTCCTTCAACAGATTCATTAATCATATGACTTGGCACGCACACAACGAAGTAGGAATCTATTCGGCCTCACAATAAGAGAGTGCTACTACCGAATCCTTCTTCAAACTCGAAGAAATTGGTGTTTCACCACACATAAAGATGTATCCAATTGTATAATTGCTATTATTTTTATCTCCACACCAATTGAAATCGATAAAACCAAGAAAATTGCATTTTCTGTCAGTACCCATTGTGGGAAAAAGAATTCCGCAACCAATAGATCCTTTGACGTATCTTAGATTCCTCTTGAGTTCTGCCAAGTGAGACACCTTCAGTCTATCCATGAATCTACTCATAATACCGGCATTAAACGTAAAATTCGGTCGTGTATTGCACAAGTAACATAAGGATCCAATCAGCCTCCTACGTTGAGTTGGATTAATATATTGCTCATTCTTATTCTTCAACAACTATAGCCTAGGTTTAGCCTGAGCAATGGCAGGTTTACAATGCTCAATTTCAAACTTCTTCCAAATTTCAAGTGCATACATTTTTTGGTGCATGAGCAGTCGTTTCTTGGACTTGTAAAACTCAATGCTAAGGAAGTATGTCAGGAGGCCAAGTTCGATCATCCCAAACTCTTTCATAAGTCCACACTTGAACCTAGAAATGCATTCTTCTTTGCTTCCTATAATCAACAAGTCGTCTACGCATAGATACAGGATTATCACCCCTTCAGTTGTATCCTTCTTCACATACACACTTCTTAAAACCAAACTTTTCTAAGAAACCATTTATCCTCTTGTTCGAAGCTCTTGGAGCTCTTTTGAAACCATACAACGCTTTATTCAAATTGTAGAACTTTGGCTCTTGGTTTCTCACAAACCAGGGGGTTGTTCTATAAAAAATTCCTCTTCAAGAAATTTGTTCAAAAACGAACATTTAACATTCATTTGGTAGATGAACCAATTGTTTTTATTCGTAATATCAACAACTAGACTAATGGTTTCAATTCTAGCCACTTGTGCAAATACCTCTTCAAAGATTATGTTTTCTCTTTGCAAAAATCCCTTTACAACTAATCGAACCTTATGCTTGATTATTTTCCCCTTGGGATTTGCCTTCACTTTGTACATCCATCTTACACAAATTAGCTTATTTCCTTCAGGTAGATCAACTAACTCTCAAGTTTTGTTATTCTCCATAGATTCCAACTCCTCCTTCATAGCACAAATCCATTTTGGATCACCCAAGGCCTCCTGCGTTTTAACGGGTTCAGATTCGGCCATAAGTGCAAAATATATGAAATCACCATCATCATTGATCTTGTTATCTTGGAACCTCTCGCTATCATGGAGTATTGGAGACAAAACTATTTGTTGTGTTAATCTTCTTACATTCTCTTCAATTTGGGCTTCAACGGGGGCTGCTTCTGCATTATCAAGCACTGCATGGACTGTTTTCTCATTATTGTAACCAGGAACAACTTTCTGGTAACCATGTACAAACTACTATTGCTGCTTGATTTCGTCAAAAATGATGTCTCGTATGATCACGATTCTTCTATTCAATGCATCATATCACCTGTAGCCATCAGTAAAGTGATACCGTACTATTACCAACAATTAACCCTTATCATCCAACTTCTTTCTAAGTTTTCCTAGCACATGTTCATATGTTACTGAATCGAAAACTCTCAAGTGATTCAAATTCGGTTTAAATCTAAACAATGTTTCCTCTTGTGTTATCTTCTCAAGCTTCTTTATTAGACACTTATTCAAAAAATATGCAGATGTATAACCACTTCTCCCCATAACTCTTTCAGCAAGTTCTTCCCTTTTAACATGTTTCTTACCATGTTCATAATCAATCTATTATTCTTTTTGGCAACACCATTTTATTGCGATGTATAGGGTGGTATTACCTCATGTATTATGCCTTCTTGAACACCAAACCTCCCTAAGTCATTTGAGACATATTCGCTTCCACCATCCGTTTTGAGAACTTTAACCTTGTGACCTCTTTGTCTCTCAAACATGTACTTGAAAATCTTAGACACTTAGAATAACTCAATTTTTCTCTTGATTAGGTATGTCTATAGCTTTCTATTATAATCATCGATGAATGTGACAAAATATCTATAGCCCTGTTCGAACTGCAGTAAAGCGACAAGAAGCAAAAATTTAGATTTTGGAAGGATTCTCTCTGAGATTTATATCGTCTCCACAAGGATCGGTGCAAGGGAAAGAATTTTGTTTAACGGTCTCTATGTTTCTAAGCTTGTGGTGATTAAATTCGTTGAGAGATTCAAGGGTACCATGAATAAAGGCAGAAAATATAAAGTAAATACTTAAAATAAACGGAGCTTGGTTGAGATTTGATCTCATCAATTGATAAAATGTGCATTCTTCTGACCAGTTAAACACAAATCAATCATTCGTCTAATATCCTCACGTATCACCCACAACAGAGGCTATGTCTAACGCGACATCGAGAGAACAACCGTATTGTCTCATTGGTGATGTCTCATGCAATTCAACAATAGAGAGCATTAGGAACTGATACTCACGCAAATGTTAAGCCTAAATCTATGTCCAGAGTCTAGAACCTAACATATATTCATCCTAGATCCAGATCTAAAGATTATATTTCTATAACGGTTCAAATCAAAGATAAACAAGTAAACAAAGATGATACCCATATCAGATTCATGATTGATTCATATAAAACGCCATGATCAGAATACATACATACGATTAACCCTTTTTACATGCATTCAACTAATTTTCCAAATGTAAGTGAACATAGTTTCTCATCTCTATTATCACGCATCCTCACGATACCGTATTGATCGCTACTCATGCTACTCATGCTAATAATCAACACAATGAAATAAAAGATACTAGTGAATATCAACTTACAAGACTATGTCAAAAGTTTGCTCAGTGATAGATGAATATCTTAGATCTAAGATTTGAAAAGGTTTTGTCAAGACCCACAAATAAGAAATCAAAGACAATATAAATATTAAATCAAAACTAGTTCACAATACATAGATTAGATAAAATACATAAGGTATCAATAAATTACATCCAAACCCAACAAGAGATCGAAGCACTTACTTGAAGATCAAGCTCCGAGTTGCTTCGATTTGTGGTTCTCCCTCTTAGGGTTTGTGTTTCTCTCTCTAAAATATGTTTGGAATAAAGAGAGATAAATTTGTTATCCTCAAATTATATGTTATAAAATTTATGTTTCTAAAAAGCAAGAAAAG